CAGAGAACTAGTAACCTTTCCCACAATCCAGCCAACAAAAGAGTACTCTCACACAGAAACTTAATATGCATACAAATATTAGTAAATGATAAAAATACTTAGGGTAGGCGCTGCTGTTGGTGAGGGAAATAGGGAAAATGATAAAAGGCTGAAAAGTGAGATGCTGAAGATCTACAATAACTCCTAAATAATTGACTGCAGCAAATAATTTATGAGGAGACATCCCAGATTTCACCTGTGTTTGCTGAGATTGGCTCTGGCTCCTCTATAATTCTGTATTAGATATACACAAACGGATGAATGGGTGGGCATCCCACATGCAAACAAAAATCAATTAAACCACTTAAAAAAGGGGGGGAAAAAGAACGAAAAGATAAAAAGGTTTGTATTTACTCCATGCATACTGGTAGGATCTGGTGCTCTGCTGTCTCCTGCACCAGGGTGAACATATGTTCTCTTGAAGAGGACCTAAAATGGATTCCCCCCTTCTTCAGTCCATAGTCCCACAAAGGCATGCCTGTTAAAAACCCAGTGTGAACAGGACCAAAGTACCTGGCTTTCTTCAAACTGATTTGTCTGTGTACCAGAGAAATCTCAAAATAAAAACCCTTGAAACTTATCATGGCCTTTGAAAGAGTGACTACCATATATCCCCACCCGGGAAGCACTTTGTTCAGTAATTAGATTGGGTTGTTATGTTTGTATCCTTCCACTGACTGAGCTGGGCAGAATAGCCTTCTTTCCTTCAAAAAGAGCCATCTGTCTCTGTGCCAAAGAAATCTGAAAATAAAAGTCCAGGGTTTGGCTCTGCCTTTGGAAGAGGGACAACAAAATCTCCTGCTTGCTCTCCCAATGAGGAAATCTTTTTGTGTCAAACCTGGGAACTGCCCAGGAAGAGCTACATTCAATGATTCGATTGGGTTGTTATGTTATGTTCAGAATGTTTTTATACATATTGCTTTTCGTGGACGTAGTCCAGTTTAGAAGTCACTGAATAGTGGTTGTCTGGGTGTTCAGATTTTCCACCATTCCCACAATCTGTACGGTTGCTGCTGCCATCTCTGTTCTCACCAGCCGTGTTTGCTGGTTTCTCTGCTTCAGCAGTTTAGCCATTTTAACCACTGCTAGCAAGTCAAATTTTTGTAATATCTTCCTGATTGGAGAGAGAGCAGGGAGTGGCTGACTCCAGTTCCTTCCATTCCAATCCAATCCATTTCAGACCACCCTAGAAATGTACACCATCCCCAAAAATATGGCGAACAACTAAAAAATTAAAGAAGAGGTGGTTGGAGGCAGGAGATTCAGTTTTGGCTAATATACTGGGACCCTGGTTATGTAATTTGCAATTATGTCAGTTTACTAAGCTATGAGGTGTTGTACTGTTACATATGTGACATGCTGTAGTAGCAAGAATTAAACACTATTAATGTATTTTAAAAACTAACTTGTGTTTACAGCATAACTAGTAGGAGCTGTAGCACTCATCACTCTGCCATTAATTCTGCCATTTACCCTTTGGGTCTGGAGTGTGTAAAGGCCCAGGGTGCAACTGTTGTCTATATTTCTCCTGTGATTGTGTTACATTTTTTGTGATAACCTGAATATTACAACAGCCTGGAAATTTCCCAGATAAAATTGTGTAAAAGGAGAAAAAAAATAAAAAACAACGAAAAAACTTTCTGAGAAGCCACCTGATTGTTCTAGCTGTGTTTGAAACGTAGTTATTAGATTGTTGCATTGGATTAAGTGAAGAAAATAATTTTCGGTTTCTTTTTTTTATAGGTATATGTTTCTCGTTGTTTGTCAAGCTTTCTGAAACATTTGTCCAGTACTGCATACTTTTCAATTAACTAAAATTATTGAGCTCAGAAATGGTTGCAATTTTTGGTCTGTCTTTATTCTGTCAGGCCCTTCTTAGGTCATCATTTTTAACTCTGCACCATTTACAAAAACATACCATAACAATGAAGTCTTCAGTCTGCTGGAATCTTTCATTGTGAAGGGCTAGATCTGACCTGCCTTGCTTTGGCTGCACATTTCTCCCAAATGAGAACATAAATTCTGAAGTTAAATCTGTAACATACACTATTGGATGTGGTTTTTGCTTTCAGGGGAAAAGCATGTTGTGCTTATCACTCCCTGAAGAAGAGATAACTGAGTATACATAAATTTGACAAAGCATAAAATATTACAATGGAACTTGTACCACGCATGTTACCCTGGGTATTGCTGTTATTAATATAATTTAAGAGCTTTAGTCACTGGTCAAACAGCCATTGATACAGTGCCTTGCGAAAGTATTCGGCCCCCTTGAACTTTTCAACCTTTTGCCACATTTCAGGCTTCAAACATAAAGATATAAATTTTTTATTTTATGT